TCCCAGCTAGTAGTCAGTTACAGAAGTAATAAATTCTTCGCACATTGGTAATGCATGTAGAGGAAGCAGAGCTCACAGCACTTGTTGTAGTGCTGGAATCGACATGCAGGGAAATCGGTCAAGACTGCTGGCAGATATTGAAAACCATCATTCATCATTATCAACATAGTGTTCATTACTTGATCCCCCAATTCTTCCATGTACATCATCCGTGATTTCCAACCATCGATACGGTATAGGATTTCCAGGCCCCTTGGATAGAAACCATGTGCGGTTGCGCAAATTGCCATCATGACTGTCGCCGCATCAATTCCCGCCTTAGAGGCCCGGTTAAAAAAAGGCACCGAATTGTCGATCTCAACATCGAGAATCATCCGGCTCATGCCACGAAGGTACAAGGCGTATGGATTACCATGACTGACCACCGACTCAAAGAAGTCCGGGGAGCGAGCAATTAAACGGGGGTGGTTAACGAATTCAGACAGGTTCAACACCTTGATGACTTCTGGATCTTTCAACATCTGGCTTAGAACCTTCGCTGTACAACCAAATGAAACAGCATCAGCAGCAGACTCTCTCCCTATCCTTAAGAATATATCAATCAACACATCTCGTAGCTGGAAAAGCACGTTGTTTGTCATTCTGACGAAATCTTAAAAGAGAGGGTTTTGAAATTTGTAAAGATAGACATAGAGAGAGAGAGAGAGAGATATCTTCAAATATGGATTTGAATATGTATTTGAAATTTGAAATGTGGTGAAATAACGGAACCTATTACAAATTTGTAATGGATAAAAAAATAAAAATATAAAAGATCAGAAGCATTGTCAGAAGGGAAAAAAAGAATTTCCGGAGAAAAACGTTACAACTATGTTCTCACAATAGTTAACCATTTTAATTTGTAATGGTATGAATAACTTGGTACAACTATGTTCAACTATTTTCAGCTCTTGGTTTTGGGTTTGCTTGTTCTCTCGTCCTAAAAATAAAGAAAACTCTATGTGTCCAAGGCTTTTCTAACAATGATGGAAAATCAGTGAGAATGTTCTGTTTCATTTCATCGGAAAATGAGCTTCCGTGAGAAATAGACACGTATCAGTTACAATCAGTTACTTTTTACTTTATCAGATAAGGGTTGTGGGCCAGACACCGTAAGTGGAGTAGATGACTATACCTTTATCAGACATGACATTTTTCAGATATTCTCAGTTAATATATTATTAAAATATATGAATACTCTGTTTTGGTTCTAGGTTGCGGTATTTATCGGTTCGGTAAACCAATCTCAAATTACAATAACCATGAAATCGATTTCATATACACTAAATTATATGAAGTCGATTACATTCTCGTAGATTGTATAGTTATGTTATGATTAACATTTAAACTAGCCAAAATAAGCAATTTATAAATCTTTGAACTTTGAAACAAGTTTTCTCGTAATACACATCATAGTTCTATGAAGAGTTCACGATGAGTAACCACATAAGGCATCGAACAGAACGTAAAAACGCGAAAACGAAATCTGATTACATGAAAATGATGGGGCAACAAATTAAGTAGTACTTGTGAAAAGTTCAACTACATAATTACATATTTAATATAAGTAAAACTAGTTTTTTGGTTAAAATCGGAAATGTACAACTAATTGAGAGTGTGTATAACTGTCATACTATGTACAAAAACGTATCGAACCTCATATGAAGAAATGAAATGTGACCACACGTTATTGGATATTAGCTATTGGCGGCAGCACGTGAGCGAATTCCACACGTGAGGGACGGCCCCATTTTCTGCGTGTAATACTTAAATAATATTATATTTCCCTTTTTCTCAGTTGTAATATAATTCAAATTTGAATTTCCCCCCAATACCCAAATTAAGCAAAATTCGAACTTCCCCCCACTTCCCCCCATTTTGAATTTCATTTCATATATTTCTATTCTGTCTCTCTCTCTTGGGACATTCCTCTCTCTCTTTCAAATTTGTGAACTTCCTTTGCTACAGCGACTATGGACCCGACCTACAGCGACAAGAAGAGAAAGCTTATCGACCGCCTTTACCACGTAGCCGATGCAGAGTTTGGGATTCCAACAGTTTGTCCATGTGGTGGAGGAATCATCTAGAAATCTCCAGGAAAGAGATACTACACCTGCAAAGTGTATAAGGTTTGAATTACTTTAATTTTCTGGTTTTAGATTGATTTAAAATTCCTGTGTTGAGTGTATAAGGTTTAAGTTTATGAATTGTTGTGTAGAACGACGGCTACCACTTTAGGGTAAATGGGATCACCCTGTCGTTGATGAGATTTCTAGACTAAAATGGGAGATTAAGGACCTGCGCTCGAGGATTGCGAAAATGTCAAACCATGAATTTCAAATCAATCAAATGCGCATGGAGCTGAACAACAATGCTGAAGAGATTGCAAAGCTGAAAGGTGTATTGGCGGGTTTAGGGTTTAATGTGTAGAACTGATACAATCCCGTTGTTTAATGAATCCTTGTTTAATTCCCGGATTGTTTCATTCGCAGACTAAGAAGTTATCTTATCCTTAATTTCTGATAATTTAATTTTACCGAGTTATAGTTTGACAAGTACTCTTAGTTGGGCTATATTATACCAATTTGTACTACTTATTATAATTTCAAGAATTTGCACGTAGTTGGGCCGAATTATACCAATTACTACCAGATTTTAAGGGTTCCCAAAGTTACACGTAGTTGGGCCGAATTATACCAATTAGTACCAGATTTTAAGGGTTCTCAAAGTTACACGTAGTTGGGCCGAATTATACCAAATAATACCAGATTTTATGGGTTCCCGAAGTTACACGTAGTTGGCCCGAATTATACCAAATAGTATCAGATTTTATGGTTTACCAAAGTTACACGTAGTTGGCCCGAATTATAATAGTACCAGATTTTATGAGTTACCATAGTTACACGTAGTTGGGCCGAATTATACCAATTTTCACCAGAGATTTAAATTTCCCCAAGTTGAACGTAGTTGAGCCTTATTATACCAAATTGCACCAGAACTTATAATTTTTTAAATAAATTTGCCTGGGACGAATAACCCCATGTAAACAATTATAACGAATTCTATTATTTAAGGTTTCTTCATATTATACGGTTATTTCATATATTAAAGAATTAGTTTTGTAATACTTACCTGAATTACAAGGCGATCTGAGTGGATCCTTACTAAGATAGTGCAGGAAGTGGTGGATGAAAAAGATAAACAACTTAGGAGGCTGGTGTTTGGATTTTTCCTCCAAATTTTCGCTCAGTCTCCTAAGTTGCTCATCTTCTCATCAACCACTTTCTGTACGATCTTAGGGTTTTATATCGAGAAGGATAAGTAAGCGGTTTTTTCTAAAAGGAAATGAAAGGTTGGGGTGATGAAATGAGAAGGAGACTAGGGTATTTAAGGATAAGTGGGCGGTGGTTGGTGATGCCTGTACGCGCTACAATTATAATGTAAGACTGGTACAACTACCAAGTCTGGTAAACGATATCATTTATTATCATTAATGTATTGAAAATAAAATAAAAAATTATATTCCAAATAATAATTAATGTTGGAAAAGTGAATAACAGAGATATCTTTGCAAATACAAATTAAGTGAAAATATCAAAATATAAAAAACAAAAGTACAAAATAAGAAAACAAAAACATATCTCAAGAAGATGCGGCCGTGCCATGTTGAGAGAGTTCATTTGATGAACAGACATTTATTTAAAATTAGGGTTTCTGACAAGTCGAGAATAAATAGATGTTACAATGAATTAAATGAAATGAAAGAAATGAAATGAGTAGTGGGTATTAAAGGAAAATTGAGGTGTTGTTTATTATCATTAATCTATTTAAAATGGGATTATAAAATTCATTGAAACACGACTACTCGAAAAACAATTTATTCATTGAATCTAACTGCTTCCTTTACTCATCCTCTCCTTGACTATATATATATTCCTGATCTTACCCTGGAGATCACATAAACCCTAAACGTCGTTCTTCAAAAACACATAAACCCTAAAATAATCATCAATATCTTACTCGCTGATCTCAGACTCTTCATCAGATGAAAAACCCATTGTACACCTTAAAAGCAAGAAGGATGGGTATTTCATCTGATGAAGAGTCAGATCAGCGAGTCCTTCAAAAACACATAAACCTGAGAATAATCATCATTCTCTTACTCGCTGATCTCAGACTCTTCATCAGATGAAATACCCATCGTACTTAACACCATAAAAGCAAGAAGGAAGGGTATTTCACTTGATGAAGAGTCAGATCAGCGAGTCAGAGTTTGGTCAGCGAGTTTGGTCACCTGATGTTGCTGACTGGGAAATACAAGGTTTAATCTTTGTTCAGGCAAGAAAAACATGATTACAAGTATAAAGCGTTGATTGGCGTTGATTGCTCATGCTTATACTTGTAATCTTGTTTTTTTTTGCCTGAACAAAATTAGGCTTTGTAGGATGCAAAGACGATGTAGGTTTTTGTATTCAGTTTTTTTGGTTTTCAGTTTTTGATTTTAGAATTTTGGATATCTTCGTTTGTAATTTTTGGTTTAACCTCAGTTATTTTAAAAAGATATTTTTAAAGAATAATTACTTTAAATAAGATAATAATTTCCCGTGATTTACGCTTATCCATTATGAATAAAAAAAGAGGCGTCTGCTTGATGATGTCTTCACGCGTAACCAGTATAAATGGGGCTATAAATGAGTGCGGATTTTTGATGTAAAACTGGTCCAACTACCAAGTCTTATCAGATGTTAGGGTTGCATGTAGGTTATTAAAACGTCAACGTTACGAGACCCAAAAGTTTGTGAAATATTTCCATTAATCACAAAAAAACACATAATAATATTAATAACCAAATAAAAACATAATATAAACATACAGAAAACATAATAATAAGTTCAACAAAAACTAAAAACAAACATAAAAAAACACAATTATTTAGAGTCTTTTCCTCCATGGATGTTATGTTAACCATCCATGGCGTGGATCTTGGTGAAGCTACGTGCGAGTTCCTCGTAGCTTGCCCTGTCTTCCCGGTACATCACTGCCACCTCCTCCCTCACGACGTCGCCTTCCGCCACCAGCGGATACAATAGAATCTGGGCCAGACTCATCAGCATCTGGGCCACAGATGTCGCGATGCACCACATATCAGGCATGAGCATCGGATGGAAGATGTTGCCACGATGGCTCACATTGGGGTGGAAGATGGGGGTCGGGAAATGCACCTTCGGTGGCTTCCAGAGGAAATCCGGAGGGAAGATGATGCGGAGAAAGAAGACACCCCCTTCGTAGGGAGTTCCCGGCGGACCGGTGATGGTCGACGTCCACACATACACGTCCTCTGCATCCACCCCGGCGGAGTATATGGACGACGGGTTTCGCTGGAGGTCAAGCAGGTATCGGCACATCCAGTACTTGGGACGTGTTGATGACGCCGGACGAATGTTGTGAGCAAAGTGGGCTATTTGGGGAAATTAGGGTTCTGAGTAAGCAAAGGGAAAGATAAGATTTATTTTTTTGACGTTTAAGGAATGTTTTTTTCTCTGCGATGGTGTTATGAGAAGGCGAGGGTGTGGTATTTATAGAAGAAGAAGTTAAGCGGTGGCATGCATTAATGGCATCGTCTCACTATGGGATTTCTCTCACTATACAAATGCTGCCTTTCTCTATTCCCACACGCGTCGTTTCCTTTTAGATAACATAATTTAATAACGACAAGACAGTTACCCGACAACCAAAGAAGAACAATATTTTAAACCGACTAATACCAAACCGAAATCCTCTAATTAAATATAAACTGATATTTATTACAATAACAAACCAATATCCTCAAAATAAATTTAAATTTAGCAAACAACACGATCCCACAATTTAGTTCTTAAAAAACCATAAATTCAAATCGACAGCATGAAAGAGTGAACATATGAGACTGTTAATTCCTACTCTTTTTTTTCTTCTTCTTCTCATGCTGCACCTCCCCTTCCTCGACTGAAACACCAGATTGTTCCTACATGGTAACAAAGATATGTGGTTTATACTATAGTTCTACCTATTAGTATCAACTAATACCTATTACTACCAAATAATACCTATAAGTACCAAATAATACCTGAATTCCAGACCGTTGTCTGGTCAAATACTTTCTGACAACCGCTGCCTTCGTCTTCGTCTTCTTCTTTTCCTTCTTTGCAACCTCTCCTCCAACTTCTTCATTCTCTTCAACTTTTTCTTCATTATCTTCTTCTCCTTTTTTCCTTCTTCTCCTTCTTCTCCTTCATCACCTTGTTCTTCTCCTTCCTTCTCTTCTCCAAGACATTCACTTTGAATTGCCTCTTTCACATAAGATTCAACGGACTTCAATCTAATATCCACGCCATTGATTTGGTCTCTCATTAGTTGGAACTGCTCATCCATACTCTTCTTCAACCCCTGAATCTCCACAATCCCACTCGGCGCTGGAGATTTAGAGGAGGTATTCTTCGCTGGTTCAACTCGGTTTTTTTCATCGTCCAAGCTCATATCCTTCTAGAATATCGGCTTCCCATCATCAATTATACAACTCGTCCAAGTATCAGGAATTGTATCACTGTTATCTGGGTCTTCATACCTTTCCATGATACCAGCTAACATATCTTCCTCATCAGCAGATGGTTCCAAGATACTCTGGATATCTTTGGTATTACCGAGTGTTTCGTAGAGGTCCGACAGAGGAAATCTTTTGAAAGTGAATGGTCTGAACTTTGTCTTACACATCCGAGGACACTCTATGTCTGCTCCTTTAGCTTCTTCTCTGTATGTGTCCTTCAGACAAGGTATTGCTTCAAAAGGTAGCAACTCCAAGGGAGTAACAAAGCCAAGAAATGTCCAAGAATTGGTTTCGACGACCCCATTGAAGTGCCTCAATGTATGTTCAATTTCCTTTAGATTCGCATCAAATGAATACCTCCTCCCAAGGAAATGTTCTACACGCATCGAGATCTTCTACCATCCTCAAGAATAAAGGGTCTACCGAGGGAGCTCCCTTCCCGGTCTTAGCCTTACCACCTAACACGCTTGCTAGAAAGTACAAAACACACATTCTTAAGCGATCAGGACCACCACGCATCTTTTCAAGCTTCTCTTTAACAACAGCAAGTGCAGGGACAGTTCCTTTCTTAAAATACTTCGCCTTAAAATCACTACTGCCCATCTTCTCATAATTCTTTGGATAATCATGGCAGTCTAATCCAGATATGAGTGCATGTTCCTTAAGCGAATACCGAATTAGAACTCCATTAACAACAAACCAACACTCTCTCCTCTTGTTTGTCTTTGCTGTGCGTAGAAGTAGCATCCACAACCCCTGAGTCTTATGGGTTGTATCCAAATACATGGCCTTGTGCATATGCCAGAAGTGCTTGAATTGAGGATGCTCGCTAAACCATCTTAGCTCCTCGGGTCTCAGTCCCAGTGACGACGACTCCAGATTCTCCACTGCTTTGTGGATCCAGCACCGAGTACCTAACTTTATTGCCTTATTGTACTGATTTGGACTAATACATACTCAGCGGTTGCATTGGCGGCTGGTTTTCCTCATCATTACGCGTTTGCGCCTTAACCTCACTACGAAAGCATAATGGTTCCCACATCGTTAATTGAAGCGACTCACTATCTCCTCTGAATGCTGTCATTACAGTATTTCTATGAAGTTAAGACACATCTAGTTATCACCGGGATCCACACATCAATCAAATTTTGCAGGTAATACTAATTTCAGTTGCTCGTTCCTAAACCCAGGTATCAGACACTTCAGATTCATTCGTAAGCCTTCTGCCTAATAGCTTACAGTAAAACGGCAAAAACGAAGAAGACCGAAGAACGAACCTGATGCGAATTTGAAGAGAATAAATGGAATTGTGACCAGTTTAGAAAGAAATCGAAGACTCTTCGTAGTATCCTCGTAGTTGTACCTAATGGAACGAATTTCTCAGAAATGATTTACATTCGTATTTAGGGTTATTCAAATTTAGACCCAAAATCGGATTCAATATAGCTAACTGGGTGTGAATATTTGACCCATGACTGGTTGGGTCAGTAAATATTATGATGTTCTAAGGGTGACTGAGTATTTTCTCGCTTTTCCGATTCAAAAATAATTTAAAAATAAATTATATTTTATAATGCTGGTAGATGAGAATAAATTGCTTGGTCAACTGGTATATGAGGGTTTGATTCGTCGCGAGTCTCCCGATAAAATTTTGGTCAACGGCTATAAACTTTTTCTCACACGATGTTTGATTGATTTGCACGAAAATCTTCTGAAGAGATTTTGATATACCTCAGAAAACTTCCCTGGAGCAACCGAAGCTCCTCTCGATTTACTGCTTCTAATCAGGGACTAGAAACGGAAATCATTTCCGTACGTTCTATAAGCATTTCTTCCCAATTTCGCAGGTGATTTTAATTTCTTTTTTCTTTGATTCAGCATCTTAATTTGAGTTTTGAAAAATCGAATCCACATTTTCGTCTCTTTTCCCTCTCTTGGATTTTGTTTTCTCGACGGTCCCCAAACCATATACCACAACTTCTCGAGCTCCTTGGGTAAAATAAAACTAAAGATGATAATCAGAAACACGTTTGATGGATTAGCTTCTGTGAGCATTAACACCATTGATTCTCTACCAGACGCAGCAGCACCAACTCCTCCTACGGTGTATCAATCCGGCTGGCGCTACCTGCCAAACGTAACAGAGGAAACGAAATTAACTTCAGATGTCATGGGAAGCCGTCTGGGAAAACCTCCATCCTCCATGGAAAGCCCACCTCCTTTCATATGGTCAGTTTAAGTTCCACAAAGGTCCAAATCCAGCCATTGTCCACTACCGATTTCCCGCTGCAGATATCGGTTTTCTCTCCAGGTATCTACAATCTCGCTTCGTATAAACTCAACTGGGAGCTTCCGTTTTCCTCTGTGTATTCATTTTGATGGTTTTAGTCTGAGTTTCAATTTTGATTGTATCCACTTGTTGTCAAGAAACGGTTTTGGCAAGGAGAAAGATGAATTTTTATACTACGCCAAAAAGAGAAAAAAAAAAGATGAATCTTATTTGTTTGTGCCGTGGAATAAAAGATTACGTACATACACTACTCCTGGCCATTATAAGTGTTTATACCTTTTAACTATAATTTTATTTACCTGAACCATAGTTCTATTTCGTTTATTTAGATTAGATTATGTCTGATTCTTGAGAGGAATATTTGAGAAATTGGAAATGCAGAAGAACTGGGGTTTGAATCATTTATTGGGGATTACAATGACGTCGGACGCCGAATTATCAAAAAGAAAAATCATGTATATAAAATTTCAGTTGAGTATTTAAGTTTCAACTAACAATGTGTTCTCAAAAAAGTTTACTTAGCCAAATATATATATATATATATATATATATATACCAGCTTGCAAGAAGGCGCATAGTTATATCTGCAGAGTGAAGATGGCGATTGAAAACGCAATAAAAAGATCCATTATTTGAAGAGATTGTTTGCAAGTCAAATATTCCATTGGAGTGGCTTGTCAATTTTTTCTTACATCATTGGTGCTATATTTTTTGTATCACATGTATAATATGTAAAGTTCATTTTGTTTATGTTTTGGCTGCAGAAATTCTTTAAGATGGAGTGAAGGAGCACTACTTGCATATGAATGTCCTTGCGAGTAGTAGAAGCTATACATGAAGTTATATAATACACTAATATGGGTTAATGTCCCATGCTTTTCTGTTTCAGTCTCGCCCACTCAAAGCTATCATTATCTTCTATGATCTAGAGTAAGATATGTTCTATCATTAGTCTTAGATGAGAAGGATATCCTTCTTGCTTGGTGGTATGCATCTTCTCTCTCTCTCTGGTCTGACTGATATGTGTGTTTTTGTTCAGCAAATCACTTAATCGAGATCTTTGTGTCTCTTTGGCACTACCAACCAAACAGTTACAACAATGTCTTCATCCTGATCCTTGGGAGGACTGGTCTCCTACTACAATAATCTAATTGTTGGATGTCAATAGGTTTTCTCAATTAATCTGATCAGTGCCGTTTCGAACAAATTTAAGACCATGTGCTACTAATTTACAATAGACTTTATAATATATAATTTTAAAAATATTTATATGGTGAACTAATAAAAATATTTACCATATATAAGAGTGAAAGATGAGTAAACAATCACTGAATAATTAATTTAATAATTTTCATAAACAATGATTATTATATAACATTAAGCACTTCAACTATCAAAAATATATGAAAAAATCTATCAAAAACCAAATGTATACGTTATAAACCACTTAAAAACAATGAGAATAAAATTAATTATGATAAAAAAGCTTTTGTAAAAACCTTCTATTATGTTGACACTTGATACTATATGTTGTTCTTAAAATTTGTTTGTATTTTTTCCATAATTTTTTTTTTAAAAGCAAATTTTTTAAAAGCTATATTAAGTCTAAAATTATATTGGATCCTGTGTTATATCCTAGATCACACGTGCTAAGTGCCAGCCCTGAATCTGATTATCAAACTTTGTCAAAAATAAGTATTTTGAGCTAGAAATGTGTTAAATCTGTATATGAGGTATCCATTGACGATAAAACATTATCAAAATGAAAAGTGAAAACTATGAAGAATATTTTGTTTACAATAAATTCAATGTACCGGTTAGTTTAAACTTTTAGATTTTAACACGTTAACCGTTTCCATCTATTTTATTATAAAATACGTATACTTCGTATCATAAATTATTACACTTGTTCCATTCTATTGAAATAATAACAATACAAAGTTTTCAAATCTATATCAACAAAAACCTGTATTATTAATCAAAATTTTAAAACAACAAAAAAAACAAAACTAATTATTATAAAAATTACCCGCAGGTAGTGCGGGCATATATAATAAAAAAGCAAAAAAAAAATATTTCAACGAAGTCTGTTCACTACTTTCACTTCTCTCAGATTATATAAATTGTCATCAAAAACTTCAGTTAGTAAATAATAGAGAAACAGCACAAAGACGTTGCTTCCAAAAGTGAAAATTATTTTTTGATCCAATCGCTTAAAAAATAAATAGAAAAGAAAAAACCCATACAAAAAACCACACCAAAGTCCATAAAGAAAACATTTTGCAGAAATTACGTGTAAGAAATTTTCTAAATTAAATTGCACTTGATCACACCCTTTTTATTCCTCAATAAAATGGCTGTCTTATTTGTCCAAGCGGTGTAGCACCAGCTTTGTTGGTCTCCACGTACAACTGAAAAAATGACATATATTGATATTTTGAAAGAGTTAAAACAAAAAGCAACATTTACGAAAAACAATTTGGAGACTTGAGTTTCTAATTTTGCAAATTAATAGTACCTTCAATTTACATAGAAAAACTATTTATATTTGGATGGATTGAGACTTCAATCAAATAAAAACAGAGTTATAACAAAAAGCAACATTTACATGGAACATTTACAAAACCCCAGGTCCTGACGGTT